TTCCACCTTCTGGTTCAGCCTTCACTAGCCAGCAGCTCCTACTAGACCTGCCTCCCACAAACAATTATATGTGGACAAAATATAGAAAATAGCTACCTGCAGGAATTGGGAGAGTGACCAAAATGCAGGCAGATACTGGAGGGCAGTCATCAGCTGGAAGAGGGCATGTATTCTAGGTGAGTCATCAGGGTCTGCTGGGTTTTGTGTAAGGGCTGGTTGCTGTGTGCACCAGGCTGGTCTTAGGGAGGAGGCTTTACTGAAGATAGTCTTAAATGGTTTGAAGAGCCACTGGAGATGGAAAGAGCGACCATGGCAACTGAGAAGGGAAATCTCAGGAGATAGCCAAAGATAGGGAGCAAGAAGGGGAGCTCCTGATTCTATGTGTAAACCCCCTGCGTTCCTCACAGATCACTGTGCCACTCATATGCAGGTGAGGAGTGGGGGGCAGGTTCCAAGTAGCCCAGTGAACTTTAAGAGAACTGAAGTGAGACTCCAGCCGCTATCTACCAAAGCAGAGTCTGAATTCAGCCAATTTAATGGCCTGCCCCTTCATTACACACACACACATGCATGCACATTTGTAAGAGTGCTGCTGTGCCAAACGGTGTGACCAGGCATTACTGAGGATTGTTTTTCTGGGGTCCAAAAGGCACATAGAAAGATTCTGTAAGATTTGCTGTGAGCACCCAGTCCTCTAGAAGACAGCCTATTGTTTTGAAATGGCCCCAAAATTTGTTGTAGGGTATGTATACAGATGCATGCGTGCATCTATGTACTTAGTTTTTATTGAACAAGTCTGACATACAGCATTTTGTGGATTTAAGGTGCTATTTAAATATTGCAATATGATTGCCATTGTAGCAGTATTTATCACTTTATATAACTTTATATTATTTGTCTGTATTCATTACACTGTGAATTAAATGTCTATGGTTTATTTACTACTCATTACAAGTTTGTGCCCTTAAACAACATCAGTTTTATGCTCCACCCACTGGTAATCACAATTTTACTCTAGACTTTACATGATTGACTTTTTAAATTTACACATATAAGTGATACCATGCAGTACTTATTTTTCTCTGGTTTCTCTTCCTTGGTATAATATGCTCAAGGTCTATTCATATTGCCACAGAGAGCTGGATATCATCCTTTCTCGTGGCTGCATAATATTCCATTATGTATACATGCCACATCTTTTTTCTATTCATCTGTTGATAGGCATGTGGCTTATTTTCATATCTTGGCTATAGTTAATAAGCAATAAACATGGGTGTGCCTATTATCTCTTCAAAATCCTGTTTTCATTTCCTTTGGGTAAATAAATGGAAGGGGGATTATTGGATTATATGATGGATCTATTTTTAATTTTTTTGAGGACCCTTCATATTTTTCCATAGTGGTTGGACTAATTCCCTTTCACCACATCCTCACCAGCATGTGTTGTCTCTGTCTCCTTTGACGACAGGCATTCTAACAGGTATGAGATAACTATTTGTTGTTTTGATCTGGATTTTCCTGCTGAATAGTGAACTGAGCATCTTGTCATGTGCCTCTTGGCCATTTTGATGTATTCTTTGGAAAAATGTCTATCAGATTTTCTGTCCACTTGGTTTGGTATTGTGCTATTGAGTTGAATAAGTTCTTTTATGTATTTTGGATATTAATCTCATATCAGCTCTGTGATTCGCAAATATTTGTTGATTATTTTATTTGCTGTGAAAAAGTTTTTGAGTTTGATGATTTTGCTTTTGTTGTTTGTCCTTTTGGTGCCATGCCAGAAAAAAACATCGTTGCCAAGTCTAGTATCAGGAAGCTTATTCCCTATATTTTATTCTAGAAGTTTCATGTTATTCCAGATTCTTCTGGCCTGTAGCTTCTTTTGAGAAACTTACTGATACACTAATTCAGCTTCATTGGTGGCTCAGATGGTAAAGAATCTACAGATCCCTGGTTCAATCCCTGGATTGGAAGATGCCCTGGAGAACGAAATGGAAACCCACTCTAGTATTCTTGCCTGGAGAATCTCATGAACAGAGGAGCCTGGCAGGCTCCAGTCCATAGGGACGCAAAAAGTCAGACATGACTGAGTGACTAATATACCCTAATATGGGAGGGTGGTCCTTTGTAGGCTACTCTCATCTTTTACCAAGCTGCCTTTGAAATCCTTTTTCATTGACTTTTGACAGTTTTATTATAATGTGTCCTGGAGAAAGTCTTTTTGCATTGAGATGATAAGGCTCTATTAGCTCCGGGGACTTGTAAATACAGTTCCTTGTCCAGATTTGGGAAGTTGTCAGCTACTATTACATTAAGCCCTCTGCCTGCTTCTCCCTTTCTTCTTCTTCTGGTATACCCATTAATCTTAACTTTCTCCCTTTTATACTCATTTCTAAATTCCAATCCTCAAGCTTATTTATTCTCTTTCCTATCTAATCTCTATTTCAGATGCTTTCTGATTTCTTATTTCTCAACTCTTTATAGAATCTCAGTCTCTTTGGTGAAATAGTCCTGTTTGTTCCTTTTATTCCTGAGTTCACAGAAGTGCTGTTTTGATTTCTTTGTTAGATTGCAATATTCTCGATCTTTGGCCTCAGTTGCTGGAGAATTGTCATCTTCTTTTTGTGATGACATGTTACTGAGTTTTTTCTTTCATAGTGTTTGAGAGCCTCTGCTGCCTTGCTTGTCATAGGGAGCACCTTTCTTATTTAGGTAAGATTTTGTTTACTTCCTTTCAGATTAGTAGTTAAGAGCCTTCCTTCTGCTTTCCAGAAGGTGGCGCTATAGCAAAAGTTTTAGTCCTTAGTAGAGGCATCAACTTCCTACTAGGGTAGGGAGTGTACATAGGGAAAAAAACAATGGTGGGGAAAACTTTTTTAAAAAGGTGGCAGCAGAATGTGCAATGTGTTCATAGTGGGGGCTTTGGGTGCCCATGGCCTGGTGGGGGGAATCTTCAAGTAGGGGGTGGTGGGCATCTTTTACAGGCATCTCAGGGCAGACAGCAGGAGATCCATTCCTCCAGTTCCCTTGGTCTGCCTTCTTCCCTCTCCCTCCCCACTATTGTGGATGTCTCACTTCAGCTATGCAGGAGGTTGCTAGAGAGCAAGGGGAGCCTCCAGCTGTAGCCCCCATGGCCTGCCAGACTTTCCCTCACCCCGTTTCACTTCCTTTGCTAGAGAGGTCGCCACTGCTGCTTAGGCAGTTGCCTTTACCTCAGTAGCCTCTTCTGAGCTCCTCTCTACTCACTTTCGTGTGCACAGATGGATGGATTTCTTCGCTGGCCTGTGCAGAGGTTCTTTCGTTTATTTATGGATGTCCCACTACAAGTTAGAGGGGAGGCAAGAAAAAGGTAAGATTCACGTACCATGACATACCACAGTGTACTCATTCTTCAAATAGTCTACATCTCATTAGGCAAAGTGTCTGGAATAGAATAGAACAGAACAGAAGACTTGAAGAAATCTGAGCAGCTCCTTAAACATCAGCCCATCTTCAAGCCTTGGATCTTTCAGGTATGGGGCAAAGGGCACAGGCTGGCTTTAATAGGAGACAGGAGAGCTTTAATGTGGGCTGATACATTTACTGAATTGTGACAAGTGATCTTTTGAAATGTTCATGGCTCACATACTCGCCATTGGTTAATCTTCCTTTCCCAATCATGTCGTTGACCTTTTATCTGATAGATATATCTGAGGAAGACAGAGGTCAAAGAGCAGCTACTAGGGGAAAAATCATCTGTAAATGAAATATAAACCTATTCACAGGATAGCAATCACTGTCGAATGTTCAAAAGTATCAAATCTGCTTCTAGGTTTAAACCTCCAGGTTGGAATTTGGACTCTCTGTCGTTGATTTAGTTATTTGTTCAGGCATTGATTGACTGAAATTTTCCCTTCAGTTTCAGGATGTCAGTTTGGATCAGGGTTTGCTTATGAGAGTTAAGACAGTCCAACTCCTAGTTTTTTCAGGCTGACCTTAGGCAAATACTTCCCTTGGAAGGCCTCATGAGGGAAAGCTGCTTGCCCCACACAGACTGGTGGTGTAGTCAATGAATCACAGCCAGTGGCTGGAACTGTAGTCAAGGACGAAGTGTCCAGGCACATATTTGTATTCCTAGCCAAAATGACTTCATTCCTAGTTCTCTGAGGCCTTGAGCAGAGGTCTCCACATTCCTCTCCTGGGGCCTTACAGGAGGAAGGGAGGGAAGCTGGGAGACATTTTTCCTCCAATTCAGGATCCAGTACTTTCCCGCTCCTAGCTGCTCGTCCTTAAATGACCCCAGCGTCCATAAAGCGCCCAGAGCTGGGTCTCCCTCAACAGTGTGACAACCTCATGTCTTTGTGACCAACCTGAGCTTTCATCTGGTGAACACTGGTCCACTGGAGAGACTGCAGATGGAAACATAGAAGATGGAAGCTCCGGTTTTAGCTTCTTGCTTATAGCAGCACAGTAAGTGACAAAAGTCTTACCTCTTTCATTGCCAGCTTGTTGCTTTAGGGGCTCCTCTGACACTTGAAAGTTCAGCTCTCTCAGCTCAACTGAACTCCTCCTGAGACTAATTTTTCCATTCCTAAAACAGCAATAATTGCAGTCTGAAGACCTGTGACTACACTGAGCAAGTATGGCTACTGCTTGGGGAAAAAATGATTTTTAGTACATTTGCTCTAAAATATTTTATTAGTAAGTTTTATATAAAACAGAAGATACGTACTTGTCACACTGTATAAATGCATGGGAAGCCTGTTTATAGTTGTAGTTTCTAGTTTCTCTACCAAAGTAACCAGCCATGATGGAATTAAGAGAGTAAGTATAAATTCAGGTTTTGGTACAAAGTACAAAGAGCGGTGTAAAATTTTTAAGTGCCAAGAAAGCTTATAATAATAAAATAGACTTTAAAAATTACAAATAAAAATCTGTACATCAAGGGTATATTTCAGGCCTTTCTGTGCGTGTAGCTCGATGTAGAGAGAAGAGGCACTACTGAGAGAAGCCACAGCCCATCAGGTGTTACAGGTCTGGCCCATTTCTGCTTGCAGGACCATCTCCTCTTTTCTCAGGGGGAAAGTGTCGATCAGGTTGAAGAGGGCCACAGGTGTCACCAGGGAGACGTAGCGCTCCTTGTCCACGCCATGTTTATCCAGTACCACTATGCTGAAGGAATAGAGTGGAATTCGCAGCAACAGCCTAGGACAAAGAGAAGACTAGGTCACAATTGCCTTCCCAAGGACTGGTGAACCAACTAGAGTCCTAGAGTGAACCTGTGTGTGCAGAAAGGCTTAATATCACAAAGGACTGAATTATCCTTTAGATCTTTTCCTCTCAAAGTGTGGTACATTGCATGGGAACTTCTTAACAATGGAGAATCCCAGGCACCACCCCCCACCCAACCTTCTGAATTAGAAGCTGCATTCGCTTGACAGGTTGTGTAGGACAGTTTTAGACTGTAATGGGCAGGAAGACTTTAGACCTGCAGTGGTGCTATGTACCAATAGTTGCTCTAAGGCATGTTCAACAATGCTAACAATTTTTTGTATTATATTGGCGTCAACCCCTAATTGCAGATGAGGATTGCACAATCATAGATGCACTAGAGCCACTGGTTATCAGCCGGGGTGGTTTTGGCCCCCAGGGGACATTTGGTTCTGTATGAACAGCTTTGGTGTTCACCATGTGTGATGGGTGCAACTGGCCTCCAATGGTAGGAAGCCAGGGCTGCTACCTGCCATCCTACAATGCACAGAACAGCCCGCTACTCACGAAAATGTCCACAGTGCCGTGGTTGAACAATCCTGGCCTGGTGGTGGTGTAGTTGCCAAGTCTAGGTGAAGCTAATTGAAATTATGTTCCAAACATTCCAGCTGTGGCCCATCTAGCTCACAACTGCATAAGACAGGACAGAACTTGCTCTTCACCCTAGTTTTATTCATTTGGTTGATTAGTTTTTTTTTAGTACATCAAGAAATTTCAAAAAAGCATTTGAAGTAGTTTCAAGGGCCTGTTTTTTCTGTTCTACCCCATTAGAATTTCAAATGTATAAAATAATGTATTTCATTAGAAACCTGTTTAGATGAAAAAAGCCAGGGAAAGCAAACAAAGAGATGAGTTTGGGGTGAGGGGAGGAGCCCACTCAGCTACACAACAAAATCTGGAGAAGAGACTGTCTCACACACAATCTCAAGATAGAGTACATTCTGCCATATGGATTTAAAGTGACTATTTTTTTTCTTCACACAAATAGATTAAGGAAAAAAATTATTCAAAATCTGAGCCGACTATACTTTATTCTTTTTTTTTTTTTGGCTGAGCCATACAGGATCTCCGTTCACCAACCAGGGACTGAATCTGTGCTCCCTGCAGTGGAAGTACAGAGTCCTAACCACTGGACCACCAGGGAAGTCCCTATTCTGGCTTTTAATAGTGAGTTGCAGGAGAGATGAGAATAATTTCTATTTTACCCCAGTGGGAAACTAAACTGTTCACCCACTTGTGTGTGTGTTGCTTAGTCATGTTCGACTCTTTGCGGCCCCATAGACTGTGGCCTGCCAGTCTCCTCTGTCCACTTCTAGTGAGTAGAAATAAAAGACAGCATTACCATATCTCCCATGGTTTCTCGTGGTGGTAAGAGGGGAACTTGGGAGTAGATGACCTCAAGAAGTGAATTAATGAGTTTTGGAACATTTAAATCATGAGCATGAAAGTGATGTTGGAATGGAGAAATAAACTTCTCTGCATCTTTAAAAAGAAGACTAATTAGGGGTTTCCCAGGTGATGCTGGTTGTAAAGAACACACCTGCCAATGCAGGAAACGTAAGAAACACAGGTTCGATCCCTGGGTCAGGAAGATCCCCTGGAGATGGAAATAGCAACCCACTCCAGTATTCTTGCCTGGACAATTCCATGGACAGAGGAGGCTGGGGGGGGCTACAGTCCGTAGGGTCTCAAAAAGTTGGACACAAGTGATACACAGCTACCTGTCTTTATCTCCCCATACATGCACATAGGTATATAGGTACACACAGCAGCTAAACTGCTAACAGTAAAGGGAGATTTAAAAAGAAGAACAGAATAGGAAACGAGAGAAGTACGTTTGGAAGGAAAAAGGAACTAGGCACTGTTGTGGTGGCTGGAGCCGATGACAAAGGATGACCAATATAGAATTGGAGTGTTTGCTGTTACAGTACTGAAGTTAGGACAGAAATCCCTCATGGTGCCACCATCTGCTGCTACCACACACATTCGTCCTGTGGGCCTTGTGCCTTGATTGACACAGAATATCAAGAGGGAAAACTGCCATGGGTCAGATCAGCAGGCTACCAACGGGTATAGAAATGCATCCTACCATGGCTAAGAAACCACAGACATTTTGGAGATAAGACATCCTACAGGATGAGGGATGGTACCAGCAATATTTCAGAGTTACTCAAATATTGGGTTGATATGAATTTCAGAGCAAGTTCTAGAGAACTAGACAAAACACTAAGGGAGGTTTCAGTTCAGTTCAAAATCCTAGTGTAGGAAGAGTCTGAACTTACCTCTTCCCATTGACACACCAACTACATAAGGAGCAATTTCCCCAGAAAAAAACCTAAAAACTAGGAGAGTGACTTTTGCATATCAGGAAAATGAGAAGGAAATCACATCAAAGTAGGTATAAAAAGCTGAGAGACAATCTTGGCCAAAACCCCAGCAATATCTCCAGTCACAGCCCCCACCCATGTGTGGGGACCAGCAGTCAGGAGGGCACTCATAACCTGGAGTTTCTCCCTGAGTAGTAGACAGTTCCTCTCCCACAGCAGGCTCTCCAGCATTTAAGACCTGCCACAGAGAGACAACCCCCCAAATATCTCTCCAAACCAGTGGGGCTCATACCCACGAGAGCTGCTGAGCTGTCACAAACTCAAACAGTTCTTGAAGGGAAGACTAATGCACCCCAAGACACAGTGTAGAAGCATCCATTTAAAAGTACCCAGACTTTATGTGAATAGGCTCATTTGATAATCTTAAGTAAGCAGACTGAGGGGCCAGGGGTATGTTGGTGGGAGCAATTTTCAAACTCCCTCTACCGGGTGAAAGTCAGCAGAAACCATGATCCTCTCCATTGGAGCATTAACAAGTCTTGGCACACCCTCAAACATTGGGAACTACTGAAAATAAAATAAGCTCCTCGGACAATCACAAAGGTTTGCGAGAGAAACTAGGGTTCATCTCCTACCTGGGGCCAGTCCTTCAAGACTAGAAGTGCCTATTGCAGCTAATGCATAGAAACCAACAGAGAGCCAACTAAAATGAAGAAACAAAGGAATATATGTTCTTCTATATAAAAATAGAGAAACATACAGGATAGATAGATAACCAACACGGACATACTGTATAGCACAGAAATCTCTACTCAATATTCTGTGATAACCTGTATGAGAAAATATTCCTTGAATAAATATATATTTATATTTTTATATGTATGTGTAAGTGAATCACTTTTCTGTATGCCGGAAACACACAACATTGTAAATCAACTATATTCTACTAAAATTAAAATATAAAAAAGACAACTGTCAAAAAAACTTAGGCTAAATAAAAACAGAAGCCAGAAAAAATTAACAAGGTCAAGATGGTAACATCATACCATTACACCAAAAACAAGACCCTTTTCAGTGTGGAGACCTGTGTGGTTGCATAGGTCACACACCCATGAAACTGGTTCTGCGTCTCTTAAGTCCACCAAATCTTTCCTAACAATGAAAACATACTAACCCAACCTTGTGTTCCAGGACAGCACAGTCCAAGAATAGGTAATTACAATTCCAAATGCAAGGAGATTTCTATTACCCAACCTTATCCTGCCCTCTACACTGTCAGCCATCATTCAAAGCAGCTTCTTTAGTTTTATACCTGTTTCTCAGAGCAAGGATGAAAGAAGGAGCTTAATGTTTGGGAAGTCCTAGGTGGTGTAGTGGTTAGGAGTTTGGTTCCCAATGCAGGGGTCATCGGTTTGATTCCAGGAGAGAGGAGGGAATTTATACATTTGTAAATGTATATAACCAGCATGGCAACACTTAAATATATACATATATATATATATATATATATATACAGCAAATATTAACATACGTAAAAGGAGAAGTACAAGGACACTGATAGTAGGGGACATTAATACGCAGCTTATAACAATGGACAGATATCCAGATGGAAGCTCAGTAACAGAACAGCCTTAAACACGTTAAACTGTGGATTTCATAGAGAAATACACAACATCCATCCAAAGCAAGAGAATATCTATTCTTCATGTGCATATGGAACATTGTACAGCATAGATCCTTAATCAAGATGATTAAAATCATAACCAGCATCTTTTTTGGTCATAATGTATCAAACTTAGAAAATCAAATATAAGAAGAATAGAAACATTTACAAATAATGTGGCAACTAAACAGTGTTTTAGTGGACAAGTGACTCAAATAGAAATAAAATACATTTAGTCAAATGAAAATGGAAATAAAACATCCTATAACTTATGAAATGTAGCAAAAGCAGTTCTGAGAGAAGTTCAGGGGAATAAATACTTATCAAAACAAACATCTCAAAAGAAACCTAACTTGACATCTGAAACAACTAGAAAGAACCAAAGTTTGGAACTAATAAGGATCAAAGAAGAAATAAATAGAGAGACCAAAAAAACAATAGAAAAGACCACTGCAACAAGAAGTGGGTCTTTGCAAAGGTAAAATTCATAAAACCCTTAATAGACTCACCGGGACAGTTTGGATTCAAACATAAATCAGAAATGAAAGAGGAGACTCACAACTGATACCACAGATATGCAAAGAACAAGAGACTACTGTGAAAATTTATATGCCAAGAAATTTGACAGCCGAGAAGTAGCGGATAAATTCCTAGAAAAATACAACCCTCCAAGACTGAATTATGAACAAATAAAAACTCTTAACAAATTATTATTAAGAAGATTGAATCACTAATCAAAAACCTCCCAACAAATAAAAGTCCAGGACCAGATGGTTACATAACTGAATTCTACCTTCATTCAAAGAAGAATTAATACTAATCCTTCTCAAACTCTTCCAAAAACTAGGAGAGGAGGTTAAAACTCACTTTATAAGGCCACCATTCTCTGGTAACCCAAACCAGACAAGGACACCAGAAAATTACATGCCAACATCCCTGGTGAA